GAGCCAAGGACCTTCTTTCTGGGGGGTGCTGACCACAGAGCAAGCAGTGCTAACCACTGCTCCACCGTGCTGTCCCAGTCATACTAGCTTGGGCAACAGTGGTTAGCACTGTTGCTGTAACACTGTTAGCTTAACACAGTCATGCTAGGCCCTTTTGTTTCAGGGTGAAGTAGTGAAAACATCCTCTAGTTGTTCTAATAAACAGCAGAGAAGCAAACCAACTAAGTGTCCTGTGTGATTATAGGGGGAGGAAGTCGATCTGGATCGATGGACACAAACAAACAAATTAATAACCTTAAACATGGCGAATGTGCGCGACTGATGAAGGACAGAACATTTCCAACTCTGTCAAACTGGATAAGAGTTTAAGGCCAGTAAATGTGCAGGGATGTAGTTCCAGTCTGACACAGATCTCAGAAAAAAGGCAGGCGAGACTTTAATATCAGGGCCGAGACTTTCCTTCAGCTCAGTGCCGTCAGCGTTGTCATGTTGAGGATTATTTTGTTCCAAAACGCAAAAGATTTTTGTTTTTTCAGCTATTCTGTGGAAAAAAATATCTCACTGACATCTTAATGTGAAGTGTTTGTGAGAATGGACAAAATAAGTGCTGGTTTGCTGAAGGAACCGCGACAAATAAGGCGCTCTAATCCCCCCGGTGGTTTGACACCGAGGCTGAGCTCAGAGAGTTTCCAATAAAGCCGAATGTCTGCACATGAAAAGCTGCACGTCTGCCTGAGTTTCTGCAGGTGATGCATTTATAGAGGCCATCTCTTCTGGTTTCACTCCATGTTTTGCTCGAAGAGTAGATCATAGCACCATCACAGATGACTTTTCCCCACATTTTCACCTTCGTGCAATTGTTCAATAATGCAATTTACTTTACACCTGCCCGTTTATGTTATGCTAACCACGTTTGCTTGGTGCTAATTCTGAATCCAGCAAGATCGTCTGATTTAACTTGATTTTATTGATATTTTTAATTAGATTATTGCATTATTTGTTATTTGTGCACAAACTGACAGCTTATGTATGTGTTTATTTTTTATTTTATTAGTAATTGATGTTTTTGTTTTTTTTTAAATCACTAGAGGTTTGATCATCTCTGCTGTTCGCCATTTCAGATTTATACTGATTAACTAAATTCTTCCTCAGAGAAACTTTTATTGATGCCTCTGCAATTATTATTATTTTTAAACACACCTTTAATGTGCAAATTGAACAAATTCACTTGCTAAAAAACGCAATATAAATAGGTTTAATTTATAGGCACAGAGTTGTTTCTGATTATTAAAGAAAGCCAAATTCCTCTCGGCTCTGCGTGCCTGTGGACTGAAACAGCCGATGTAATGACAATCGCAGAGATAAAAAAAGAAAAACATATTGAGATAATTACAGGCTGTTGGTACAGTGTGATGAGCAAGCTGACAGCATCATTGTGAAGCTGTTGCCACAGCTCTGAGGGCTAAATTAAACAGAAGATGGAGGGGAAACTGCTCCAGACTGCAATATGTGAGTCACAGCAGGCTTTAAATACATACGTATTTGTCCTCCCTCCTGTGATTTCTGTAGGTTTACAGGATGGCTGGTTGTTGCTCAGCAGTCTGACAGATTAGCTCCCACACTTTCTCCAGCACTGACAGATCTAACGCCTCAGTTTGAGGATTACAGCAGCAGGTCGGCGGACTGCGCTGTCACACTAAATATATGAGGTTCAGGGTGGAAGAAGAGAATTTGAAGCCCTCCCGAAACCACCGAGTCCAACAGTATCGAGGAAGTGTTTCAGAAGTAGAAGAACAAACTGTCCAAGAATGTACTCGTAAAAATGAGCCATCATTTTTCACTGAAACCACTTTTAAATACTTGGACACCAACCATAAATCTATAATGATGCATGTATATATACACTTATATGATAACAAATTATAAATATAAATTCCCTTGATTTCCTTATATGTTGCGTTCCCGCCATCGTCGCCCTGCAAACACAATGCTACTCTCTCTTTAGAAATAAAGTCCTCAAACATCACAGACACATCGCTGCTAGCATCCAATAAATAACCAAAAGTTTAACTGAAAAAGCATCCATAAATATGTAAACCATTCAAGAATCTGCAAAAGAATTACCAGTACATATAACACAGAAACCACCAACACAGTTTTAGAAATGATCACTCTTACTTGTCCAACATCCAATTAACAAGCTAATGGCATTACAACAGGAGAAGTGATCAGTTACTAAAAAACAGGACAAATGATTTCAGAGCGCGCAGCAGACCTGCCACAAAGACTCGCTCTTAGTCACCGTGGAAACCCCAGTAAAACCTGCTGATGAGCAGAAGGCCTCCGTCTGATTGAGCCGGGAAACAACAGTAAACACATGTGTTTGTCTGTATGGCTGTGAGGGGTGGTGAAGAAGGACCCCCCACACTGATCAGTCTCGGAAAGGAATCTGAGCTGCTTTTAAAGAGCATTAGCATGAAAAACGCTCCACTTCTGGCTGTGGGTTTGAGCTCCGTTGTGCCAAAAACAAAAACAAAGCAATAGAAAAAAATGCTTTAACAAAAGAGAATCTCTTTCACGGCTCTGCTGATGGGCTGATGGTTGCTTTCTTTATCTGAGGAAGAGCTTTACCGCTGTGTTTTACAGTCGGGGAGGGTCAAGCAAAGCAAAGAGCTGGCTGAGCATCCCTCGTCTCTGGGGTTACCACGGCGACGGGGACATACGGTGACAAACAGAAACCCGTTTGTTAAATGTCACCCGGTGGTGTCGTCACCAGAGCTCCGGGCAGGTCAGGGGGTCAGGCGGAACGCATAACCCGCAGAGAGAGCAACGAGGCCTGGCCACAGTCTGCGGGGAGGCTCGGTCAGAGAACCAGCTGTTTGTCTGCTGCACACAAATTATCCAGATAAAAGGACAAGACAGGATGTATTGCACAGTGCTGTGAATTAAATCTATTGATGTTTGTGCATATTTTTTTACTTAAATATTTTAGATCATCACCTACCATCAGGTAGGTTTGGATCATTTTTCCCCCAATAAAGGAAATCGTCATTTGTATTTACTACTCATTTTTGTTTAATATTAAAAGCCAAGAAATGCGAAGCTAACAAATCCTTTTTCACAGCCCTGCACCTTCACATTAATGATGTGTGTACAGTAATCACACAGAGGTTGGACAGGTTCTTAGAAGTTCAAAGAAACTTTCTGACACATTTTAAAAGTGCTTGGTGGTTTCAAGGGTGCAGATCTGACCATGAGACTGTGCTGAATCCAAAATAAATCAAAGCTGTATTCTGTGTGCACCGCTAAGCAGCAAATTAAACGGAAGCATACTGAAACATATCTCCTAAAAAGACGAAGCTCGTTTATTAGAAGTGGTACCATTTAATTCAGAGCACAATAAATACCAAAAGAAAAACAGACAATCTTACAAAATAAAAATAAACCTTCTATTTTGAATATTATTAGAAGACTCCGTTTAGTGTAAAGCAAGGTCAAAAATCAGGTGGCACAAGCTGTTATATAACAAAAGATTAAATTCACAGATTTCTAAATGTAGTCTGATTTACTGAAATCTAATAAAAAATGGATAAACTGAAAGTAACATAGTTGTTTAAAAAAATAATTAAAGAAAACTAAAGATATCAACCAAAGACTTAAAAACTGATTTTTCTGTTTGATTTTTTGTATTAATATATAAATTGAAGAGGTTTTCTTTATATACCAGTGCTTGGTAGATGTATTGATGTGATAGGCAATGATTTAGAAGCAGCTATAAAAATGAACATTTCTGATATATATTTAAAACATGCGCTGCTGAGTTTGTCTATTTCCTCAGAGAAAACCATCGAATGAAGGACAAAAAAGGATCTGAAGGCATGTTCTAGACAATTAATCACACAAAAAACAGTTTAATGATTAATGAAAGCAGCCAGAGCCACAGCAGACTGCATTTCACTGTATTAAAGTGTGACAGCACTCATGGAAAAGCACCAACAAGCACCAATCTGTCACAGCAGCTATGACTGCAACAATGACTGTTTTGGATCTACTAGAAGTACTGAAGTGGGGCTAAAGTATTCTTGTATCCGAGCATATTTATCCTAAGAAACAGCAGCACTTTAACCTCACTGTCACTAAATTACCATTATAGAAATATTATGGGACATAAGCACCACAAGTACACTGCAGAAAACACTCTAAATACTGCACCAAAACCACAGCAAAGGCAGTAGACCAACAATCAACTTATCAAGGATACTAAAAGCACAAACATAATGAATATTTCAGAAATCTCACTGCACAGCAGAATACCGGGAACCCCAATAAAAGCTCAGTCCAAAGAATCTCACCAGCCACCGGTATACCTCGAAACCGGGGGTCGTTTTAATTTAAGGTCACAAGCAGCCCAGTTTAATGCTAAGGTGGGAGGATTACATTTAATGAACCCTGCATTTAAAACACAGGATGAAAGCCTGAGGGGGGAAAGTTCCGTTTCAATAACAGGTCTGCATTTTTCCACATTTCATCAGCTGACTGAACAATGTGTGTGCAGCACAGTTACGGCGTCTCTGTGAAGGCACAGGACACCGTAACTGTGCGGGACTTTGACTTGCCTGTGAGGTAACATGTATTTTAATGGAAAGCTGCTATTCACACAGTTTTACACCTGCTCCAAATGATTGGTGTGAAGGTGTGAATATATCAGATTAAAACATTAATGTCAGTGTGAGTATCACATGAACCATGCCGGAACACTGTCAAGTTTGAACACCACTTAATTAATCATTATAGGAATATTACGCCGCTGGCTGTTTGTGTTGATCCAAGAATTTACAGAAATCTGCATGTAGTCTGGTTAGCGCAAAGCGCCCCCCTATTAAACAGCTCGTTAGTCTGTCAGATAACTTATATTCAGCTCTGAAGTTACATTTCTGGCAAACTAAAATCAATTCAGTTAGTTATAAACCAGCGGTTAGTTTTCTGTTAATATAACTCACCCCACTGCGCGTACTCAGCGGCGCTGCGGCTCCTATGCAAAAGTCCCGTTTAAAAAATGTCCAAATATACAGCAAAGCGATGTCAACTGATCCCGGTCGCATCCACAAGGAGCGTGCTGCTTGCAGCCAAATTCTGGACTGACAGAAGCAGGGAGAGAGGAAAAAGGAGGTAGGGATCCCGAACGCTGCGCATGCGTGTTTACTCAGGTGAAAGGAAAAGCGCTGTCTCTGGTGCGCGCGCGTGTGCAGCTCAGATAAGCTCAAACAGCCCCTCCCTTGGCAAACAGTCAGGCTTCCCTTCTCATGGTTATGTTTATTTATGAAAAATAAATAAAAACACATCATATCAGTGTTAAGCAGCACACTGGGTGACAGCTTTTTTCAGTGAGTTTACCTTTGGTAGTTCATTACTACTTAAGGCTCATTTATTCTGCCATAAATATATAAAATATGACTGGATTTTCTGAATTTACCTGCTTTTACAGGGGGACACTCTTTAGGTTACAAAACGTGTACAGAGGTCTGTGGATAAATTAGAGTACTTCAGACTGTCATTTATTTGAAGAGTTTATGGTTTAAATCACTGCATTAAAGTCTCATTGAATAGGACATGACAATTATGAGAAAAATCCTCAGTTTCTTACAACCTTTGGATTTCTATTTTTTTGGGGGCGTTTTGGGGGTAAGGGATTTTTTTCCTGACAATTTTCATCATGTTTTTATATAGAAGGTGTTATGACAGTAACATTTCTTCTAATTTCAAATGTGTAGAAATAAACTTCTGTGAGGGCTGATGAGGTCCTACCTCCACAAGCCACTCCGAACACAGCATCCACCCTTTTGCACCTCCTCGTAGCAGTCAGGAGCTATAATGATTATGCTTTATTGTGCCTTTTGACCCTAATAGTGACCATCATTTCCAAAGTAAACCCCATGTTAGATTCAACAACACTACAAATTAGTGACTGAGACCGTAAACTCCCTAAGAAAGTGTTTACTGAGGCGCCAAAGCAAAGAAGCTGAAGGCCTGCTCCTCCACACACTTCTATCAATCAGACTTCTTTCTGCAACTGCCCCTAGTGGTCAGCAGAAAAAAATACAGCTTCAAAGCTCTAATGTATTTAATAACAGATTGGGTCTCCATCAGTGGTATCCTGCACTGTCATTGGCCATCGCTTAGAACGCTCACCCTATTGAGAAAAGTTTATCTCGGGTTCCACAGAGAGCATCGCCTGTTTCTGGCACACTGCATTTGTGTCTTCTGCTCCTCCTGTAAACACTTACAGTGATTTGTTAAGAGATTTCAACAGTGTCCAACAGATGGACACCCTCCCTACAACAATGTGACAAATTCATCACTAAACGAATATTAAATTGATACAAACACACATCTATGTTAGAAAGACACACCTTCAAACAAATACGAGTAAAGCAAAGCTGAAGCTACTCAGTGCGTGCTTCAGTCTTGACAAGTTAATCATCGAGTTTGTGGACGAACCTCTTTTAAAAAAAAACAAAAAAACAAAACTGGAGCTGAGACAAGAGAGGTGGGAGTCTTTGTGAGAAACTCTATCCCGCTGGTGAAATGTTTGGGAAAATGAGCCTGGATGCAGGAACACACATTCACAGACTCGCTCAGACAAATAGTAGAATCAATTTTGTGTGCTGGTGTTGCCAGGTGAGTAATTGCCTCTCTTTAAAGCAATCAGAGCAACAGAACCACAAACAGACCAGGGTCTTATTCTAAAATCGCTTCACTGATCCCCTCCATTTAAAGCAAGAATCACAACACTGCATACTAATACACCCTGCTTCAAGTCTAGTCCTTTTATTCTTGGAAAACAATTATAATAACATTGTGCACACGTAGATTTGATGTTTTAAGGTTTCTTGTTGCTGGTGTTAAGTTGAGCTTGAAGGAAAGTCAAGGTTAGGCCAGCATCTGTCATCATTAAAGAGTCTGCTGAGTGAAGGACATATTTTGCTTGCATAATATACACATTTTTTTTCTGGAATTCAGTATATTAAATATTAAAATGATGGATGGTCAAAATTTTAATGGTCAAAATTTTAAATACTTTGATACAAATGCATAAATGTGAGTCTTTCTGAGTCTATAGCTGATGTTTTATCTGCACATCCAGAAAGTAGTTTAGCAATTTACAAGTGCTGGATGCTGCCCCTCGGCAAGCTTCCAGATGCTGGTCAATGAGATGAAAGTGAGCTTTTAGTGCAGGGATTAAAAAAAAAAAAGGGAACTAAATTGGAGTGTTTCAGACAGCAGTTGTATGAAGAGCCAAACTAAATCATGTGAAGCTACTCAAGTAAAGCCACAGACTAAAAATGTAGCAGAGAATGAGCTGTTTGAGTTTAAGAAATGTTTAGCTATACAAAGTTTAAGAAAAAAAACCCATGTCTATTTTTTATGCTTCAAATGATTATTTGAAGCATAAAAATCGGTAACTTTAAGTAAATATAAAAATACATAACCATAAATAAAGATAAAAATAGATGACCTTATTTATGACTTTCTATCCACAAAGGAGGCAGGCTTAGTCTCGATTCCACAACAGGTGCAGATCTTGGAAAGCATCTAAAAATCATTCAGTTAATTGAATAAACTGAATATTTTTATTGAGTCTCTCAGATATTAAACCTAAGTTCAATAACAATTTTCAACTTTTTAAGAGGTTTGCATACATAATTATACTTCGAGTTACAAGATAAAAATGCTCAAAACGACAAGTAACTTGCTGATGTCTGTGAAGGTTCTCAGTCATCCAGGTCATCGTAGTCAAAGGAGCTTGCAAAGAAAAGCGTCTGGACTTCTTTAAGTTGCTTGAAGACGTTTCA